GTCCCTGACTTCCCTGTGGTCCTCGGTTCCCCTTTGGTCCTTGGATACCCTTTGGCCCGGGTGGTCCACGTTTTCCTGGAGGGCCTCTCTCCCCAGGCCTTCCTCGTCTCTTTTTGACACTTTGTGGACATTGCATGGTACATACTAAGCTTCTCAGAACTATTCCCAGTTTCTTAACATCTTCATTACGGAAGGTGTGAATGGATTTTGGATTCACTGTTGAATTTTCTAAATGGCGTCTCGGTCTTAAGTGTATTTCTGCAATAATTGATAAACGAATGGAAAAAATAAATATATGAATACTAAAACAAAGGAATTATTAATTAGAAAAAATTAATAAAGACGATCGAGATAAAAAAACCAATAGTTAGATGGGGGTCTCAATGGGGGAGTCAAATTGACGGTGACCGTTAAAAATAAGCCCTCTTGATGGTTGACGGTTAAATTTTTGGTCATTTGATGGTTGTTGCAGAATTCTCCGCTGCGTTAAGGAAAATCTCTGCGTTCCGCTGGTTCAGCAATCAATAGGACTGTATCTTTCTGGTTTATCAAGTTTATTTACGATCCGCATACGCCTCTACAATCTCCGTACAATCCATGTTCAGTCGATCTCGATTTCTAATCCGAATGCCCTCAATTACAACGTGTTATCTCTATTTATCACAACGGAAATACACACCTAGTTACGTAAATCCGAGATTCACAATGCTTATTTGCGCCTTACTAAGCCATTTTCTTGTTGCACAGCTTGACTTGCGTCCTTACCCAGACTAATCCAATTAGTCCCTAGCAATTAAACCCACACCCACTATTTGCGGAGCACGTGTCACATATTTCTATGTGTTACAGGATGTTCCAGCCCAAACGTACGCCTTAAATTCCTCTAGATAATTCACTTTCGTGTATAAGCTAACATTCTACCGATTTATTTCATCTATTTGTTTTTTTTTGCTATTACTGACTGTGCAATAACACGTTTCACATCAGTGGTTGACGATTAATCAATTAATTTGGAATTTCGTTATTAAAAGAACTAAACTCACAAAATTCGTGACTCTTGGACAGTGACGGTGATGGAGTCACAACAAAGTGAGGAGCAAAGAAAACATGAAACGGCGCTACATACCCTGTTCGATTTTTTTTTACGGACCTCGACTTCGTCTCAGTCCATAAAAACGCAGCACGAACCTCACTACGCTCGGTCCCTATGTCATGGCCTCGAGCTAGCCAAATATTTTCCCGTCCGGCCCTCCCACACAGTCATTAAGTTCATAATATTAGCTTGATGGGTTTTTCACCATAATTTCTATCACGAGGTGCTAAGGCATGTAACTTTCGGTTTTTTTTGTTATGTTTTGAGTATATTCTCTTCCATTTTCTATTTTGTCGTTTTGCTCGATCCCTTGACCCCGTTGCAAATTTTTCAGTGTTTACTGCGTGAAACATTTAGCCTGGAACAGAGTGAAAATCATCATGTTATGTTTCCTCTCAAACACTGAATTCGTTAACGCTTCAGGGAATAAAAGAAAGACGAAGTATCCATTGAAATAAATAATTATGTCAAAAACGAAAATGCATAACTCACTGAACATGGGAATTTTAATCTGCTTAACGTGTACATGTTCAACATGGAGTCACAAGCTTATTCAGCTTTATAAGATAAATCAAAATTCGTCCTTGGGTATTCCCGCACCTCACAGATAACGAGCTAATAAGTTTTTATATTGCTGTCTAGTCACACTCACCTTTGTCTGAAATACTCTGACGCAGAATCTGCATCAAATCACTGATTTCATCGGATGTTGGACTTTTCAGCTCGAGCTTTTCTGCTTTCGGTTGATTCAAGGTTTGAAGCATTTGACGATGAGCGTGAAGTTCCATCTCGACGTGAATCAGTCCTGCGAAGCAAATCACGGATACGAATAACG